AGTTGGAAAAGAGGGCTTTAGGGAGTGAAAAAAGGGAAAGCAAGAGAGATGGTAGGCAGAGAGAAAAAAATGAAAAGAAGTGCTTCTTCTTTCTTCTTCCTTCTCCCCCTTTCTTCATCTCTACCACCCTCTCTCCTCTTCCTCTCCTTTCCCCCCCGTCCTCTTCCTCTTTCTCCTCTCCTTTCCTCTTCCTCCCCCTCCTCCTCCTCTTCTTCTCTCTCCTTCCTCTTCCTCCCCCGCCCTCCTCCTCCTCCTCCTCCTCTCCTCCTCCCCTCCTCCCCTTCTCCTCTCCTCTCCCTCCCCTCCTCCTCCTCCTCTCTCCTCCTCCTCCTCCTCCTCCTCCTCCTCCTCCTCCTCCTCCTCCTCTTCCTCCATTTCTCATTCTCTTCCGAGAGCCACCTGGCCTATCCCAAAGGAAATCTCAAGGATACAAAAGACAGCTGAAGGAAACAACCGGTTTGCAGACACGACATCGCCAGTGAGTCACAAAATCATCTTCGAGACAGAAGACCCAGATGCAGCGAGAAAAAAAAATACCACTGTTTTTATCCCTTAAAAAAGATAAAAAACCAACAACTTTCAGATCCATCCAGAAATGCAATGACTGAAAAAAATAAACAAACAGAAAAAAAGATAACATAGTTTCACCAGCATTGAGGTAAAACAATAATCAAATGAATACAAAAAAGAAAAACTTAACCAACAACGAGCAACATCAACAAAAAAGAAGAAATAATACCAGAAAATGAATAAAATAGAATAACATAACACCACCAACAACGAGCATAGCCCCCTGCCCCCCCCCCTCCCCTCCCCCGCGCAATTAACCGCCGCGCAACCCGGGCTATTTATTACCCCGCCTTTCCCGCGTCGCCGCCATGTATTCCGATGAAGACTTGTGCTGCCAATCTCTTATCGGCGATCTCGGACACCCTCCAGGGGCGTAACCCGGCGAGTTTACACGTATTATTCCCGATCTTGCTGTAGGAGAGGCTGAGGGGGAGAGCTTCCGATCCCCGGGCTGATTGGAGCGGCCTTTTGACAAGAGGGAGTCGGATGCCGCTCGCCGCGTCTCGGGAAGGTGTTGCGCTGTCCGGATGCGGATGCGATTTTTGTTTTGACGTGGCGATGCGCGCGCGGCTATGCTTTTATTTGGCGGGTTATTTTTCGGATA